TTGATCTCTGCGTTGAACTGTCATAATTAGGTCATTAGTGTTAATTGTTTAGTTGATGTGTTGGACTTAGTGTGCCTCCCCACATTTACTGGGTTTTCATTGGTGTCCTTGCTCATTATCCCCATTTTGTCTTCCTCTTCTGCCTTTTGTGGTCCTAATTGATCATTTAGTATCATTTCATTTTATCCTTTTCCTTAACATATATTATGCTTTTTTTAAAAAAAAAAATGTGGTTTTGTTTTACATTTGGCTACCCTTGAGTTTGCAATATGCACTTAAAATGAATCCACGCCCATTCTTAAATAATTCTAACTCATGAGGAGTGCAAGGTGGTCATAAACCCTCCTCCTGGTTCTTCATTTCACTTCCCTCTAAGTACAACTAGACATCTATAAATGAAATAAAACGTCACCATTAAAATTTCCACAGCTGTCTGTGATATCAAGTAAGTAGAACAGTAAAGAATTTTGATTTGATCTTTATTTATTCTTCCATTTTCGCACTCTTCTATTCTGTCGTGCATGTGTGTGTGTGCATGTGTGTATGTGTGTGAATGCATGCATATGAGAGAGAGAGAGAGAGAGAGAGAGAGAGAGAGAGAGAGAGAATTTGACCTGCATGAATGTGCATGCGCCATGTGTAGGTCTGGTTCCCATAGAGGCCAGAAGAGGGGTCAGGAACCCCTAGAACTGGAGTTACAGATGGTTGTGAGCCATGTTTGTGGGTGCTAGGAATCGAACCCAGGTCCTCTGCATCTCTGAAAGAGCAGCAAGTGTTTTTAATCACTGGGCCTTCTCTCTAACCCCTTTCTTTCACTGTATAGGTGTGTGTGTGTGTGTGTGTGTGTGTGTGTGTGTGTGTGTGTGTAGAACTTCTTTGACACGTCTTATAAAGTAACAGTGCTGCCCATGAATGAATTTCTTCAAAAGATTTGAAGCTAGATCTCACATAGCCCATGCTGGCCTTAACCTCACCTTATTGTTGAAGCGCTACGGTCACAGGCACACATCACAACACCAACTTTCTCTTTGATTTTTCTAATTTTATTCATTTTTGAGTTTTTTAGAGAGTCTCCCTTTATAGCTTGACTGTCCTGACATTCATTATGTAGCCCAGGTTGGCCTTCAGCTCACTGTGTAGTCAAGAATGAGCTTATCCTCTAAGCCCTGTGATCACAGGCATGCATCTCCACACCAGCTATCTCTCTAATTTTTTATTTTTATTTCATGTATTTTATTTTTTTAATTTAATTTATTTATTTTATTTTTGAATTTCTGAGACAAAATCTTACTGTGTGGTTCTAGCTGTCCTGGAACTCACCATGTAGACCAGGCTTGACTTAAACTCACAGAGTTCTGCCTACCTCTACTGAGAACAGGAGAATTCTAGGAAGAAGGAAGCCCATTCCTACCAGTCCTGCCCAGACCCCCGAAGAAGCAGAATGTGACATACCCTGCTAAAAAAGCTACTGAGCCATGTGGCTAACATAGATAAGAATAATGGGTTAATATGAGGTACAAGAGCTAATAAGATAAGAAGCCTGGGCTAAGGGGCTGATCAGTTTATAACCTAATGTAGACTCTCTGAGTGATTTTCTTTGGGGGCTTACTGGCTGTGGAAACCCCAACAAGCAAGCCCTCATGTTACATACCTCTACCTGCTGAGCTCGTGGGATTAAAAGTGAGCACCACCATGCCTAGCTTTCGCTTTTACTTTTGGAGTGGCTCACCACATAGAGAATTGTACCCCAGACTGTTTCAACCAACACCTTCAACATTTTATTGCCCAACTCTTTTCTTGATTTCATGATTTCTGAGGAGACATAGGTATAATTCTAGTCTTTTCTCCTCTGTAAATAGAACGTTGCTTTCCCTCTGCCGCATTTTGAAGAATTAAAGAGTAATAATTTCATTGATTCTAAACTCTAAACGCTATGCCCAGGTGTCGTTTTTCTGCTTATCCTGGTTTAGCCACTTCCTGTTTTCTAAGCTTTCCAGACCTGTAGTTTTGTGTGTGATGCTAATTTGGGGGAATTCCTCGGTCGTAACTGCTCAGCTACACCCTCCAATCCTTTCATGAGTCTCCCTGTGTTCTTGGCGCATGTGCACCCCAGCCTTTGAAGTGTCCCATCTGCGCTTGGATGTTCTGCTCTGGGTTTCTCTGGTGTACTCCCCTTCCCTCATTCGCTCTTCAGCTTGGGATCTTTCAACTGAGATACCCTTCAGCACGGAGATTCTCCCTTCTATGTTCAGTCTACTAATGAACCCATCAAAGGCATTCTTAGCATGTTACAATGTTTTTGATTTCTAGTACTTATTTGGTTCTTAGGAGTCTCACCTCTGCCTAAATTGCCCATTGATTTCCACAGAGTCTACTTTGTCTATTATGTTCCTTAGCCTATTGTTAAATGGCTTATTTATGTAACTATTGTCTTTTCTCTTGAGACTGAGTCTTACTCTGTAGTCCAGGCTGGCCTTGAAGGCACTATGTAGCCCAAGCTAGCCCAGCTCACTGTGCTTTCCCTGCCTCAGCCGGCCAAGTTCTGGCCGTAAAGCTAGGGGCCATCACAAGCAGTTTATTTGTGTTTGTTTTAAATTCTCAGTCTGATAACTTTATTGTTCATGCTTATTTGAAGCTGATTCTCACTCATGCTTGCTTTGCTTGGTCGTAATGTGCTTTTGCCGTTTCATATTTCTTAGAATTTTTTAATTGATTTTATAGAGCTCTACATTTTTCTCTGCTTCCCTTCCATCCTCTCCCCTCCCCTTCAACCCTCTCCCAAGGTCCCCATCCTCCCAATTTACTCAGGCAATCTTGTCTTTTTCTACTTTCCATGTAGATTATATCTATGTATGTCTCTCTTAGTGTCCTCATTGTTGTCTAGGTTCTCTGGGATTGTGATTTGTGGGCTGATTTTCTTTGCTTTATGTTTAAAAACCACTTATGAGTAAGTACATATGATAATTGTCTTTCTGGGTCTGGGTTACATGACTCAATATAATGTTTTCTAGCTCCATCCATTTGCCTGCAAATTTCAAGATGTCTTTATTTTTTCTGCTGTGTAGTACTCCATTGTGTAAATGTACCACATTTTCCTTATCCATTCTTCAGTCGAGGGGCATTTAGGCTGTTTTCAGGTTCTGGCTATGGCAAACAATGCTGCTATGAACATAGTTGAGCACATGTCCTTGTGGCATGGTTGAGCATCCTTTGGATATATATACTCCAAAGTCTTATTGCTGGGTCTTGGAGAAGGTTGTTTCCTAATTTTCTGAGAAATCGCCATACAGATATCCAAAGGGGTTGTACCAGCTTGCATTCCCTCCAGCAATGCAGAAGTATTCCCTTTTCCCCACAACCTCTCCAGCATAAGTTGTCTTCAGTGTTTTTGACCTTGGCCATTCTTACAGGTGTAAGATGGAATCTCAGAGTTGTTTTGATTTACATTTCTCTGATGACTGAGGATGTTGATCATTTCCTTAAGTGTCTTTCAGCCATTTTAGATTCTTCTGTTGAGAATTCTCCATTTAGTTTCGTAACCCATTTTTTAATTGGGTTATTTAGAATTTTGATGTCTAATTTCTGGAGTTCTTTATATATTTTGGAGATCAGACCTCTGTCTGATACGGGGTTGGTAAAGATCTTTTCCCATTCTGTAGGCTGTTGTTTTGTCCTCTTGAACAGAGTTGTTTTCTTTTTTTTTTTTTCTTTTTCTTTTTTTTTTTTTTTTGGTTTTTCGAGACTGGGTTTCTCTGTGGTTTTGGAGCCTGTCCTGGAACTAGCTCTTGTGGACCAGGCTGGTCTCGAACTCACAGAGATCCACCTGCCTCTGCCTCCCAAGTGCTGGGATTAAAGGCATGTGCCACCACCGCCCGGCTCTTGGAAGTTTTTTTAATCACTGTATGGGTAAAAGCAACTACTGTCAGTCACTGGTCATGAGGTAGTGTGGTGTGCAGATGGGAAGGGTTCTACAGTTCTGTGATGTGACCCAGTCTTGTGACAGAGGACTTCACAGTGAACACATCACAGAGTTTACTTCTGAGCTCTCCTCACCCTTGGACAGAACAAGATGGCTCGCATTTCCCTTTTCCAGCCTAATCAGGCTGTAGAAAACCCCAGCTGGCCGAGCTCTCACCAGACATTCCTCCCAAGGCAGGCCTTGCTAAGAAGAGTGCGGCACTTGGGATAATTTTTGAATATTCTTTCCCTTGCCCTGCAGAAGCAGAGGGGCTTTTTCTCTGGCCTGTGAGGTGCTGACCTAAGTTTTCACTCTCTGATTTGTTCACATAGAACTCCTGGCAGTTTACCAGTTATAGCTCAGGTTTCCCTGTCCTGGTTCCGGCAGAGATAAGAGCTTGGGCATTCTCCTCACTCTCTCTAACTTGGGGTGCTGGTTTGCCTGTGACTCCACATCTCTAAGCTTGTTGCTTAGGGTAGAATGGCAATGCCAACACTTCTATGCACTAGACTGTATCTTCGTTTTGTTTGGTTTGGTTTGCTTTAGATAAGATGAGTAAAGACAGGACAAATGGGAAATCTCAAGCTTTGAAGGAGTTCTTCTGAAACCCAAGATGTCTGGATTTGAGCAGAATTTATTGCATTGATTGGCCTATTACACAGGTCCTATCTCAATTTTCAGAGACTAGTTTGATTTCCACTTGACCCAGACACTTTGGATCTGAACATGGAGGGTACATTATGAATGAGCGAGCCTGATGTGAGCAGCCATGGACAATCTAATTACATCTTAAATGGAAGCTGGCCTAAAGGGCTCAGGTTGCCTGTCTTTTACCATATTCCCAAACCATCCGTTTTCCTGAACATGGCATTCAATCCCTGGAACACTTGCTCCTGCACCTCTACACGGGTACTCCAGCTTGGCCGGACTCCTCCCGGGGCCAGGTAAACAGCCAAGACTCAGGAACCACACACAATCATTCTTAGGCTCCAAAGTCTCTTTTGTTTTACTCCCTACCTTCTCTAATCACATTACTGAGAAATTTACAGAGTTACTGTTGGCAATTACCAACTGTGAGGAGAGGCTCAGCCTATTTAGAAACAGAATTCGACTAACTAAAGGCCTCCAGGTAGATGTGGGCAGCCCTGTGAAAGTACAGCTGCGATCTGGGGAAGAGAAATTTCCAGGAGTTGTGCGCTTCAGAGGACCGTTATTAGCGGACAGGACAGTGTCGGGGATTTTCTTTGGAGTAGAATTGCTGGTAAGTTTGCTAGGACATTTGAGAGAGAGAAGGAGAGAGATAGAGCGTATGAGAAAGAGTGTGCGCGTGAGCGAGAGACCACGAGCACATATTTTCCCCTTTATAAGATTTGTGTTTTATGTTTGTTTGTTTTTAGTATAGTTCTCAGGATGGACCTCAGGACCCTCTGCCTCTGAGCTATAGTCCAGCCCCCAAATTTATTTAATGATAAATTGAGAGGATATAAAGACAATTCTTGAAAACTTTAAAAAGTTATCTCTTACGGTAGAAACTTACAAGTCATTATTCTGGACTTCATATCTAAGAAGATTTTAAGTTTCCTATATTAAAAGTTAACACTGCCAATTGTAATTATAAACACTTAAAAAATTGTGAACTATCTTGTGATAGTACCCACAAGATTCCCAGTTCTTAGTGTATGCTACTAAGTATAACTGTTTAGAGGTAAAATTTTTGAAGTGTGTTGCAGCAATTTCAGTTTGCTCATGCTTATTCCCGGAATGTATAAACTGCCTTGGAACTTATGTGCCGTGGCAACATATCTAAGAATTCTATATTCCAAACTGACTATTGGTTCACATTTGGACACTCTCAGGAGTAGAGAGAGGTCACGCTTTACTTGCTTCTTGATTTGGCTTTTCGAGCAGTGAAATAATTAGGCTGTACTGCCAGCTATGGTATGTACTAGCAGGATTGCCAGCTACTTAACCTACATCAAGGTCTCCTAACCTGTTCCTCATATGTGAAGTGCTTAGAGCACACATGACTTATAGTAGTTGTACGGTGGATGGCTGTAGATGGTTACAGTTTGTTCTCAGTAAATGGAGCTGATGCTGCTGTTTGGTTAAAGTTGAATGCCTGTTCATGACAAAAGTCGTGGTAGTACTATGTTGTAAATTTAATCCTCACTCTTTCTCAAAAGAATTATGATCTGAAATTATGAGTTAGTTTCATCATCAGATACAGCTTCTTTATTCTTTAAACACCCTAAACCCAACAGCAGCTCTAGTCATATTTCATATTATGGATATAATTTAGAGTTTTTCCAAAGTAATTTCCTGAAATCCCTTTAATGGATAATCTTTTTATATCTCTTTTTAAAAAAAACTTTGAAAACTAGGAAGAACATCGTGGCCAAGGTTTCACTGATGGGGTATATCAAGAGAAACAGCTTTTTCAGTGTGATGAAGATTGTGGCGTGTTTGTGGCATTGGACAAGCTGGAGCCCATAGACGATGATGACAATGGATTGGAAAGTGATTTTGCAGCCCTAGGGGATACCATGCAGGCTGAACCTCCCCCTTTGGAAAAAAACTCCAGAGTATCTTTGAAGGTCGGAGAAAGTGTTGAATCTGGAAAAGTAATATTCTGTGATGTTTTGCCAGAAATAGAGAGTCTAGGATATTTTGTTGGTGTGGACATGGTAAGGATTTTTTGAGTTTTATTATTGTGAATATATATATTAATTTTATTATTAATTTAGGAATAAATTGAACACTTTGTATTCTTCAAATTTACAGTATTTTAAAGAAGATATTCCAGTTTGTCTTTCGTACAGAAACATTACAGTAGGAATGTGAGCAGAAACAATACATTTCCCAAATTTTTTTGTGTTTTAAGAAACTGGGATAATAATCTCAGTCTTTTAATTATCCTTATTTTAACTGACCAGTAGACAAAAACAAAAACCAAACCAAAACAATAAAACAAACTGACATTTCTCTGACTAAGTCCAAATATATTGTATGATACTGTGTTTTCCTTTAATTTAAAAATACTTTTGATACTTTTTGTATATTTGCTAACGTTTAATTAATTTTCTCATAATAATGAATGTAGAAAGTTATTAATAGAAAATACTCAGGAAAAGAATCATACTGCTTTTTGAGTTGACAGAGTATTCCCACAGGATTTTCACTGTCTAAAAACTGTTTTCTTATTGCGGCAAACTGTGTATAAGAAAGGCTCCAGTGTAACCATGGTTACACTAACAGTTCAAATCATTTGGCATATTCTCATCATGGCCTCTCCACTGTCTGTCTACAGAACTTTTTCATCATCCTGTGCTGTGCTCTGTTTCTATTAAATAAATTCTGCAGTTTGCCCATGCCTGGTAACTACAGACTGGGTGTTTGCCTGCTGTAGGTACCTCAGAAGTGAGGTCATATGGTATAATATGACTCCTTTTGTTTGTGTCACTCATTTTATTACTGAATAACCATACTCGCTAACAATGGATGCATTCCAGTGCACATAGTGAATTAACGTGGCCCTAAGAGAATGAGGAGAAAGAAGTTGAGAACATTTTTATCTTAGACTGAAAGTATAGGCAAAAGTTCATTATGGATAAAGGAGATTCCTTCATAATTGTTCTTACCAGGGTGTGTTGGGAGAGGATTATGAGCAGCAGACTCACACAGTGAATATTTTTAATAATCATTTTTATTTATTCATAAATGCTCTACAGAGATGGTTGGGTATGAATGTTCCAATGTGTTTCTGTTGCCTTGTACTTAGAAATTGTGTAAGATGGCTCATTAGTTAGGTACAAAATAAGAATTTGCCAGACTCTCGCTATGTGAAATTAGAGCCAGAGTAAGACCCGTGGGTCTCTCAGAATCGTTAATAATTAAGAACAAGAATTCTCTAAATGAGAGTTTAGTGTTTCAGAGGAGTTGTAGACTGGGTAGAGAGAATGTTGGAGAAAGAAGGCCATTAGTTTTTGGACTTAGTCTCCCCTTGCTATAGGTTTCTTGGGCCAGGCTTTAGATGTTACAGGAACTGTTTGGGTCCTCTCCCTTCTTAATGGTGACCTAGGAGGTCATCTTATTTAGCCCAGGCAGGCTGTCTTGAGACTTGCCTGCCAACTCCACACAAGTTCTGTCCATTGTTTGATTTATGCGAGCATCAGCTCCAAACAGTCCCGTTAGACTTCTTGATAAGAAAGTTGGTCGATCCCAACTTTACTCATGGCTGTCTGCTTCCAGGGACACGCTAACATTCCTCACTGGTTCTCAGGGCAGTTGTTTCATGACCATCTGCTTGTGCCTCACGAATAACTCCTGTGCTGGTGACACAGTAGAGAATAACTTAGAAAATCAAGACTTTCCCCATTTTTTGAGGAAAGTCTTGTATACCCACAGATAACAAGAGAATTCTGAAGTTAACTGCTCTTCTGTTTATAAAAAGACACACAGTAATACAGTGAGCAAAGTGCCCAGGGGATGCAGATGTGTGATTAACTTTAAGGGTAGGTTTCTGGGTAAAATAATGCAATCCTAGTAAGTTTTCTTTTGCAGACAATGTCTCTTTAAACCTCAGCTGGTGTTATTACTGCAGATTAAAGTATGAAAAATGCTTTTGATTCATTATTTTGTGTGTTTGCTGTAAGTTGATTGTTATTATTTTTATTGTAAAATGTTGTTACTTTAGCAGATATTTCTAATACAGCCTTTCTTTTGGGCAAAATAGTTAACATTTTTCTATGAAAGATATCTTAGGTAATACTTTTGAAAGAAATGTTGGCGTTCACATTTATATTTATTGACAAAGGTATATAAAGGTTTACTTTTTTGGCATTTCAAGGATAACCCTATTGGCAACTGGGATGGAATGTTTGATGGAGTACAACTTTGTAGCTTTGCAAGTGTTGAAAGTACAATTCTTCTGCACATCAATGATATCATTCCAGGTATGTCTCCTTTATGTATTCAGAAGATAGTTTCGAACATGTATTTTGTTATGAGAATGCAAATATATACTAAAGATGGATCTTTTGAAGTTGGCTTTATATTGTAGAATTGTCATTATATAGACTAACCTTTCTTTTCTCCCGAACCAAGGCAATAAAGGTTATTTCTAAAAGTATATAAGTATAGTGAAGTTTATACATTATCTCTTACATTGTCTTCTCCTAGACATTGTAATAGAGAAAGAAATCCTGTCTTGTAATTGGAAGGTTCAAAAATACAAAAAATGCTGTCTCTTGGAGTAAGAGATGAAGCTAGAAGCTTTTAAAAAAATTGTTTATGTCATCTAAACTCCACAGAGGATTCAGGATTCTTATTAAATGATGGCTGAAATTCCTTTTTTGTTGTTTTTAATTATTTTTTCATTTATTTTACATCCTGATCTCAGTTTCCCCTCCCTCCTCTCCTCCTGTTCCCCCCCGCCCCTGGTCCTGCTTGCCTCCCCTTTGTTTCTGTTCAGAGAAGGGCAGGCCTCCCGTGGGTGTTATGTATGGCATATCAAGTTGAGGTAGGACTAAGCTTTTCCCCTTCTATTAAGACTGGGCAAGGCAACCCAATATGATGAATAGGTTCCCAAAACTTAGCTTAAGAGTTAAGGATCCCAGTGTTAGGAGTCCCACAAGTAGATCAAGCTACACAACTGTCACATATATGAAGAGGGCTTAGGTCAGTCCATGCAGGATCCTTCACTATTGGTCCAGAGTCTTTGAGCTCCTATGAGCCCAGATTAGTTGTTTCCGTGGGTTCCTTCCTTTCTTCAACAGGATACTTGGAGTTTGGCCCAGTGCTTTGGTATGGTTCTCTGCATCTGTTTCCATCAGTTACTGGATGAAGACGCTCTAATGACAATTAAGGTAGTCATCAATCTGAATATAAGAAATGTCCAGTTCAGGGACCCTCTCTACTATGGCTAGGAGTCCTCGCTGGGACCATCCTTGTGAATTCCTTGAATTTCCCTGACATGAGGTTTCTTCCTGACCCCGAAGTGCACCCTCATTGGGACAACTCTTTCATCATTCTCCCCCTCCAAGTTCTTTTTGTTTTAAGATGCTATTATGGTATATCATGCTTCATAACTGTAGTCAGAAACTATTACATAGTTTTATTATATATGTTATTCTTAGTATTTTACTACATATATTGTTTATTACAAAATAATAATTAGGGCCAACAAGATGGCTCAGTGGGTAAAGGCACTTGCACGCGCGCGCACACACTGCTGGGTATGTAACACAGAGTGTTTTACATTGGTATAATTGGTACAGTGGTAACCAAACACTTTACCATTGAGCTACAGCACAGCCCCTGAACTTAAAAAACAAATGAAACTAAAAACACCACCCAAAAATGAAAAACAAAAAACACCCCCCCCCCCAAAAAAAACCTCAAGAACCTTTTGTTTTGCCTCAAATAAGTATTTTCTTTGGCTGCTATGAGGTGATTGACAATGGTAGTAACACCAACCAGTGCTGTTAGAATTCCCAGTGATAGGCTAGTGCATTGAAGTCAATAGAGGCATTCAGAAATAGGGATGTCCACAAGCCATAACCAGGGATGTGCCAGGCCTAGAATTAGATGGTTTATGCTATCTCTATGTCCTGAACAGATTTATAAGATAGGTCTCAATATATATATATATATATATATATATATATATATATATATATTAAAAATACAAAACAGGGAGGTTGGAGAGATTGCTCAGTAGTTATGACACTGACTGCTTTTCCAGAGGTCCTAAGTCCAATTCTCATGGTAACTTACAGCCATCTGTAGTGGGATCTGATGCCCTCTTTTGGCATAAAGTCATACATGCAGATAGAACAGTCATATACATAAAATAAATAAATAAATATTAAGAACATATAAAGCAGAATAAACAACAAAAGCAACAAAAGCAAAACAAAATTAAAATCCTGGGGCTTAAATTATCTATGATGAAAGTGAATGGCAGAACCAAAGTCCAAAACTCATCTGATTATGAACCTGTGTTCTCTTTAGTCCCCAACAAATCCCATATCCTACGAGTACTCTTGTATTGTGAACATCTGCATAATCCTCTATTTCTTAGTGTCACATTCTGGGGAATATTATTTCCATGGAGATGGAAATGTTGTTGTTTCTGGTTCTATAAAAGATGATTTTACCGTAACAAGAATTATAAGTGAGCAACACACTGTATTTTCTCTTCTAGTGTTTTCCCATTATTGGTAAGGTTGACAACAAAATGCTTTTGAATTTATTTCTATAGCTTATTTTAGGTATTGTATTTTGATTATATTACCCTCCAACTCCTCCTGGGTCTCCCACTCCTAATTCCCTTTCTTACGTTTTGGAAATAAATTGTTTATATTCATATGTTTTCATAAAAACATATGTGTCCTTATTTTAATTAGTTGTGTTTACTTTTCATCCATGCTTTATAGACAGCACAGTTTGGGATGTTTGTGAATTAAAATGCCTTTTTTTAATGTTACAATAGTGCTTATTGTTTAAAATACAGCAGTGTAAAAGCACCATTAATTCAGATAGTAGAAAGCCCTCACGTAGACTTCTTTAGATGTGAATATTTAGGAGGCAAAGCACATAAGCATTCTTGGGGTTGAGACGGTAGCTCCATGGTTAGAGTACTTGAGTGAAGCTGTAAGTTCCAGCCTCAGCACTGAACAAAAGTGATGATTAGCGCTAGCAAGATGGCTCAGTGGGTAAGGGCACTTGCCCTCAAGACTGATTCCTGGAACTCACGTGGTAGGAGGAGAGAATGACTCCTGCAGATTATCATCTGATCTATGCATGCATGCTATGGCACATGGGTGCATGTGCGGACACACACACACACACAGAGTGATAAATTAACTAAAAATTTTTAAAGTAAAGTAATTCCTATGTAGAACTTTCATTTAATAAGTTGAGATATATATTAAATGAACAGAATCTGTGGCCAGTAAGATGGTGATGAAGCCGGAGAATGGTCAAACAAGGGGTAAAGAAGATGGGGGGCTGCCCTGTCACATTCATGTGCTTCCACAGACCTCTGCAGGAGACATTTGAGCAGCACACACAAGAAATTATTTGGGAGCTGAATTAAGAAGGCCTTTTCAAAAAGTTGGAGAGTTATGCTGATTTTATAATGCTAACTTGCTGAATGGCTGGGAAGAAGCTCTTGAAATTCTTTCTTATTTATGAGTTTTTTTCACAGGAGCCAATTCAGGGTAATACTGCTTCTCTATAGTCATATCTCACTGATTTCACAATATCCCACAAATTCCACTTTAGTTAGCAAACAAGTATATTTGGTTTTTTTTAAAGGATTTCTTTTCAGGGAACTGTCCAATGGTGCTTTTGAAACCTTAAAACCTGCGACATTTTTGTGTGAATGTAATTGTCAATTTTTAGATATCTTAATTGCATTGTTTTGGGTATTGCATTTTATAGCTGAATGAAGTATGTTGTGGGATTGGGAAAATCATTGTTAGTATAACCATGCAAGAAGGAAGAAGAGGGGCTGGAGAGATGGCTCAGTGGTTAAGAGCACTGCCTACTCTTCTAAAGGTCCTGATTTCAATTCCCAACAACCACATGGTGGCTCACAACCATCAAAAATGAGATCTGATGCTCTCTTCTGGCCTGCAGGCAAACACACAGACAGAATATTGTATACATAATAAATAAATAAAATATTTAATAAAAGAAGGAAGAAGATTCCTGAGCTGTGAAGCTCAGGGATGCAGAGTTGGTTGTGTGTTTTCAGTCTTCTGTAAATTAAAGATTGATGTGTTCCCAGCTTTCTTTCTTTATATATGTATTTATGTGACTAATATATATTTATATTCCAACTCTAAATTTGTTTGAACTTTAAATTGTCTTAGATTCTGCAGTAGCACATAATAAACAGAAAAAAGAAAAGTAAAACTGTTTTGGAATTGGACTGTAATCTTTTAAGGAAAATTTTTTTAGCAGTACCCACCTTATAAATATCTTAATTATTTTCTATTTCAACACTGGTATAGAATTAAAATAACAAAAAACAAAACAAAACATGAGTTTCATGACTTGGGAGTCCCTTGTCAAGATCTTCAAGATTCCTGCTTGTCCTTGATGTTATTGCTGGTTTAGAGCAGTGGTAAGAAAGGAAGAGAATGCTTTTTTCTCTTTCATAGCTATTGATATTCATAAACCTTGAATAGTAGATAATTGAGAACGATACTGCTTTTATACACATAAATTACACGTATTTGCCAACAAAATTAAGCTTGCAAATAGACTTTTAAAAAGTAAAATTATTTAAATGAAAATTAATTTGGTATATTTGAATAAGCCTTCATCTATATTTTGTATCATTAACATTCTTTTCTTGAGGGGAAAAAGCGTGACAGTGTCTCCTTTAGTTCCTTAGTTTATTTATTTTTTCTTGCCCAATTACATCCATTTGTGGGACAGAATTAACATTTCTAGCACGTAGGAAAGATTGTTTTTGGAGCAGCTGAACAGTTGGTGAGATTTGGGAAGAATTCTCCCCAGTGAAATATTTCTTCCTTTTGGTATCTGGAAACCTTTGCTTCACCCCGCTGTTAAAGTGTCCCTCTTTGAACTGCTGTTTCTGATGGTCCAAAGCATTAAAGCTGCTGAGACAGCACATCCAGGTTTGTAAAGTTGCGATGAAGTATGCCAATTTGTGACACTCCCAAAGCATGCATTTCTTTGAGTATCAAAGTAATGCATTGAGCTGTGTCTGTCGTTGTGAAGCTTAAGAGTATAATGCAACTATCAACAACAACTCAGACTACACAGTATGTGCACATTCACAGAAATTTGAAAAGGAAGTCATTTAGTGGGACCCTTTCCTCCTGAGGCTGATCCCAAACTCATAATTTCTTTTTGTATCCTTCCCGATCAGTTTTTTCTTTGTGTTGCATGTCTTCATGGTTTATAACCTTTAAAAATGGTAACAATTTTGTAGCAATATAATTGATATAATTGATAATATAGCCATAGACCAGTACATCTCAACCTTAAGAAAAGCTTCTTCCTGCAGAAGATGTCAACACAGAGACCTTCAACTGGTTCAAGTGCAAGAATAAGAGACTGTGGAGTCTGCAGCCTTAAGTGGGCACGTACATTTGCATTCCTCCCACCAAGGCTCAGGGACTTTGCAGAAGAGAGAGCAGAAAGTTCTTAAGAGCCAGAGGTAGAGGTCAACTTCAAGAAAACAGAATTTTCTGGATGCAGCAGGGCAGTTGTATATATAATCTTACAGGATTTGTGATGATGTGTTCACGACCTGTGCAGCTTCAGTCCAGACAAAATCCCAGCCTGTAGGGAGTGGGGAGTAGGTATGAAACCCCACCACCAGCTGAGACTGTGGCTTCTGAAAGGAACTTGATCTACCCACACAGGGTACCACTATTTACAGTAAGATTTTAGAGAAACAGCTACACTGTTTTACAGCATGATTGTATGGTGTCACATGACCACTGGAAATATATGAATGACCCAGTTTTCCACATCCTCAGCAGCATATTCTCAGATCTGTAAAGGCACCTGAGGATCAGGGTACCTTTACCTGTCAGGGATATCTAAATTAGACATATATAAGTTAAATTTGGACATATAGTTTACCCAAACAGTTACAGCTTACCAATGTTAGTAGAGGCAAGAAGATTAGAAGGAATATGTAGTTTTTTAGCTGTGGTTCTAAGACAGAGAGTATAATCCTAATCTGTAGAAGGCAGAACCAAGTTTTAACATTGTAAACAATTTAGTGTTTTAAATCAATATCAAGGGGTTTACTCTTAAGTTAAAAAATCTGACTGCTGGGGGCTGGAGAGATGGCTCAGAGGTTAAGAGCACTGACTGCTTTTCCAGAGGTCCTGAGTTCAATTCCCAGCATCCACATAGTGGCTCACAACCATCTGTAATATCTGGTGCCCTCTTCTGGCCAGCAAACATACAGAAAGATAGAGCACTATACATAATAAATAATTAAATCTTTTAAAAAAATAAAAATAAAAAATCTGACTGCTAGCAACATGTGTTCTTGTACATGAATGTAGAGGTGAAGCCTTAATATCTCAGTAAATTTGCATAGTTATAAACCTTGTTTTTTATGAACAGGACAGGAATTATACAGAAATACATTGTAAGTCAAAGCATATGGGAGAGGAATATTTCCTTGGTGGGACCAGCGCATGTGGGTACCCTTAATAAGGATGGGACTGAGGTTTTGAACTTAACCAAAATGGTGGTTATCTATGCGTTTGTACTTTTTCAGAGCAGTTGTAATCTGGAGTTACAAGTTTTACAGATTTTAAAACATGCGCACAAACGCACACAGGCACAAAGCAAGCATACTGTGACCACATTATTTACATGTATTTATTAAGAGATGAACAAAATTTTTCCAGGAAACTGTGTCAGCTGACCAACTTTAAAATCCTGGAGTAGGTTGCAGGAGCCAGGCAAGCACACAGGTGGTCCCGTTGAGGGCTAGATCAGCAGATGCTATAAGGGAGAACAGAAACCCAACATAGGACAGAACACCTATGCAAGTCAGAGTAGTAGGGCAGGGGGAACAGATCCGTGGCAGGGAGAATCCCAGCATGACCAGATCACATGCCAGGAATGAGAGACAGGAGTGCAGAGATGCAGACAAACAGCAAGAGAAGTGTGTGTGTGTGTGTGTGTGTGTGTGCGTGTGTGCGCGCGCGTGCGTGCGTGCGTGCGTGCGTGCATATGCAGTGGCCAGTGTCTCCAGCAGCATGGTCAGGGCAGAACTTTCAGGATTCCGATTCCCAGATAGGCGAGAATCTGCAGGTGCCATGCCCCTGGTAACTAAGACAAGTGCGGTGAGACACTGACCACTGAGGGAAGGAAGGGTGGGATTGCAGTAACCAGAAACCATGGGCATATGGGAGTTCTGTCCACTGGTCCTCATGCCGGCAAAAATTTTTAGGCATTTAGGACATTGGTGTCAGCCAGCCCCAATTTAAAAAGACTTGTAAAAGGCAGTCCAATGGTGTTTGGGGATCAGGCTTTGAATTGCAGGTGCCCATTTCGCAAGTCTATGCCGGGACCCAAAGCCGAGTGCAGTGCATCCACTCTGGTAAGCGTTGGATCAAAAATAGGGGGTGTAGGAAATTCCCTTGAACAGAACATCTTCTGAAAAAGGGGTCCCACAGGGCAAAGCAGGTTCTTGTCCCGGTAACAGGTTGGGAGCCTGGCACGGCCATGTCTTCGGCAGGATACCCTGAGAATCGCAAGAGGCCCTGGGCCTCTAAGGTAGTGACTTGGAAACGACAGCTTACCCACTTGAAAGCTGATCTTACCTGGCTGAGAGCAGGAGCAGGGGAGAAGGGTGTTTCCCACCACGAGGCCCCGGGCAGTGAGAAAAACAGCCCTTTGGTGGAACCTCCAGATGCAAAGTTTCTGCACCCCATAACCCTTTCCACTGACACAATAATCCAAATCAGACCAAATCAAACCGAATTAGAAAAAGCCCAGGTTTAATAGATAGCATGCTCCCGGATGGCTTTCTAGTCCTCCAGAGAGGAGAAGGGAAAGAAAGACTAGAAAACCACATGTTTGTTCTGTGGGGAGCAGTTTAAAAACCCTGTGAGAATGGTCATCTTTTGGGAGGGGTCATCATTTGATCGGCTTTCTTGGGTGGAGCCTGGTCTGAGGCAATTGGAGGGGGAGGCTCGGGGTAGAGCTTCCATCTGAACATTCCAGACTCTTTGGATATATGGATGCTAGGGGCTGGGATGAAGCTTCCATCCAAACAGACCCTATGCCTAAAGGCTTTGGTGGAGGGTAATTACAGTTTTCACACTCCTAGAACTTGGAGCATCACCTCCAGCATCACTAGCAGAGCTGGCATCATGCCTCATCCTTTTGGGGATAATTTGCTTAGCCATCTTGACAGAGTACAAAGGGAGGACCCCTGGCTGCATTTGTTATAAGACCCAACCTGTGTAATATACATATATTGTGGTATCCATATGGTTGTGCTCTCTTTTCAAATGGAGTTACAAACTCTCAGTTACAATTGACAGTGGGCATTAGTAATCTTTAGTCAGCTGATATGCTCTAATTAGGAACCTTCCTCCAGTGATGGTTATTTTTCTACAAAAACTGTCATAGATAACATTTGTAAATATCTGAATGGTAATGTCATAAAACATTTATAGTATTTCTTTCATTGTATCATTTTTGAAATTATGGTTAGTCAGTATATTTTTAATTGAAATGGTATCTCAGTATTCTATTTGATCATATTTTGAAGTGTTTAAGATATATAGTTTAATATATATTTTCCTCCTCCTCCAGTCATGATAAAAAGATATCAAGCATTATTTACATACAGTTAATTCAGTATGACTTTTATTTTGTTACCTTTTATATTTAACACATAAAAATTTTCTTATTTTTTCTTTTTGTCCTCGAAATTCACTGTGTGTGATACTGTTTTGGCTGATAACACCTTTATCAGGTATGGGCTCAGCAATTGTATTGCACTTCATGGATGTGCTGTTAAACTTCCTGAGGGGAAGCCTTTCATCTTGACTCCTCTGTTTTTATTAGATCAGTGTTATGAGTGTCCGATGAGTGTTATCAGGTTTTAATAGTTAGAAAGATCTTTGAATTTAAAAGAAGTTTGTCAAAATTTTTTTTACCTGTGTTTTGAAGTGAAACTTGGAATGCTTCCATCAAAAAATTTAGTTCTGTATCTCTGGCTTTCTGCATTATTGATTTGTGTGTAATTCTCTGCTTTTCCTGTTTGCATTTGTTTGTATACATATCTGTTATTCTTCATGCATGTTATGTTTAAAGGTGGAAACATACTTAGTACTGAGTGTCTTGCTAACTCTGATTTGTCTCTTGCCCAGGTTTTTATCAAGCTGTGTTCTGTGAAATACACTGATCCAGCATACTTGGGTGGCTGAGAAAGTTTAATCAAGTCAGTTTAGTACAGCACATTGGTTAGAGGTTATCCAGGCACGTGGGCATGTAAAGGCTCCGGTTTTTACAGTAAACAGATTGTCCATGTTTATCTTGGCACCCTCCATAAACGCTTGAGTGTAAAACGCTGTAATGTGTAGGGTTGTGCTGGGCATGCTGATCTGGAAAATGTAACGAAAATTGTGAATAAGGTTTTCTTAAAAGCTTTTTAAAACTTCAAATAAAATTGACTGTATCTGACTAACTTTTCAAAAATTGAAGCATTTTGATAACTGATGATTATATTTTCTTACAGAAATTATATTTTTAAGTACAGTGTTGATTTTTTTTCACCTGAGAAAGTACCTTTCAGTACTGTGGAGTCTTTAAAGAGAATCTGTATGACTATAAAGATTGTGCTTTTTTTGTTGGAAAGGATTTCTTTGTTTTTTATGCTAAACTATGTTTCTTCCATATATAGTTAAAAAGTATGTTTACTATTTCAGAGAGCATGACACCGGAAAGGAGGCCTCCCAAACTTGCCTTTATGTCAAGAGATGATGGTGACAAAGGTTCATCTAGTATTAATGAACCAAAGGTTACAGGTATGGAGCCCATTCTTGGTAATTTACAATAAGATAATATGATTCTCCAAGATGTTAAATAAGCTTTATGTTATTGTTTGTATGTGTGTGTATATGTATATATATATATATGTATACATATAGTTTGTTCCTACACTTTATGTCAACTAAAATTTTATGTACATGATTTTAAGTGAGGATATAGTAAAGAAACCACTGAAATGGCCAGCCTATGAGCTGTGGAGGGAGCTTTTTATTTGGATAAGAGAGAACAGCTGGCGGTGTTACACGCCTTCAATCCCAGCTCTCAGGAGGCAAAGGCAGGTGGATCTCTGTGTTTGAGGACAGCCTGGTTGACAGAACAAGTTCCAGCGAAAAACACTAGAGAGGGAGAGAGAGAGAGAGAGGGAGAGAGGAAGGGAGGGAGCTTCTAATACACACCAGAAAAAGTTTCGACCTGTGTTCTGCTTGTTCTGCTGAGCTTTGTCTAAATGAACCTTTAGGAGCTGACTGTCATGCATTCACACGGAGAATCCACAGTTTCACTTGGGAAGAACAAGTCCCCAAGGATGATGTCATGTACAGCTGCCAGGGTGCAGCTTTTGGTGCTTTTGCTTATTTTTTTGTGTAGCTTTTCTGAGTTGGCTTGGGCAGAATCTTCTTTGAGCAGTGAAGACTGCATGCTTGCCACTAAACTTTTTCTCTAATTCATGAACCATCCGGACTTGGATTTTCTGGAAAGATTTCTTCTGAGAAACTGGTGCTAAAATAAGGATTGCTTTCTGACCATCACCAGCTTCAGTTTCCTTGGCTGTGGTGGGTGATACTGAGTTTCCAAGCTGTGCCTTGAGATCAGAGTTCATCTCCAGCTCAAGCAGTGCATGAGAGATGCTAGACTCGAAGTCATGTCTTCTTGTCGTCATCAGGCTTCCTAGTCTTGGTGCTTGAGGTGATCCTGGCCTTCTCCTGAAAGGAGGAAAGTACCACTGGTCATATGGGTCGTGGGCTGCATTGTCAGGCCATTGACAGGCACAGGCCGAATATTCCACCACATCCCTAATGAGGGCACAGAGCCTCGGAGGTCCATCCTCCTAAACTACAAAGAACAAGAAATTGTGTTAATAAAATTCTAAAATGTTTATATTGTAAATCTAAAAAAAATAAATTATTTCTTTTGTAATGTTGGGGATCAAAGTCAACAGAACCTTATAAGTTAGGTAAGTACTTTTTTACTCAGGTATTGTTCCAGACACTGAGATTACTTTTTTATTTTTATTTTTTGGTGCTTGCATCAAATCTGGCATCTTACACAAACTAAAATAGGACTCTACTCCTGATCCATATATCCACCCAAAACCTGAATGTTTTTTAACTTAATTTGTTCATCAGCTTGTATGATCACATTAGAAGTTCATGAAGGGAAATTATAATGATGAGCCACTTATTAATGGGATGAGTTCTGAGAAGTGCATCATTCGGCAGTTTGTTTTCTTGTGTGACTTTTTTTACGAGACCACTTGTTTGTTCCCAGCTGCTCAGCCCCAAAATAATCACACAGAAACCATATTATTTGCAATACTGTTTGGCCAATAGCTTAAGCATATTTCTGGCTAACTCATCTAAAATTAATCCATCTCCATTAATCTGTGTATTGCTACTAGGCTGTGGCTGACCAGGTATAGTTCTGGCATCTCCTGTGGGGCTATATGGCTTCTCACTGACTCTGCCCTTCTTCCTCCCAGCATTCAGTTTTCCCCACCTAGCTCTGTTCTACTCTATCAGGCCATGCCAATTTCTTTATTAATCAACGGTATTCACAGCATGCGGAGGAGAATCCCACATCATGTGACCATCATAGAATGCACTTCACAAACCTTGGTGAAAGAACTTTGTGTATGTCTAGGCTCTATAACACTGCTGGATGTTCTTTTGTTGACTGCAACGGGGTTTCATCCTGTGGATCGTGACCCCTTTGGGGTTTGAATGACCCTTTTATTGGGGTCATTTAAGACCATTGGAAAAGAAAGATATTTATATTGCAATTCATAACAGTGGTAAAATTGCAGTTATAAAGTAACAATGAAAATAATTGTCTGGTTGGGGTTTGCCACAGTTTGAGGTATTGTATTAAAGGGTGGCAGAACTAGAAAGGTGGAAAACCACTGTTATATAGTATGAATGATAGAGGTGAATTTGGTGAGCCAGTAATTTCATCAAAGTAGAGGTGACATTGAAAAATAGACTACATTGAATGATTTTTTTTGTCCAGATTTTTTTAGATAGTCTGTAGTGTCCTGGAACTTGCTCAATAGACCAGGATGGCCTCAAACTCAGATGTGCCTGCCTCTACTAAGTGCTGGGATTAAAGGCTCATGTCACCACTGACCACCAGAATGGTTTCTTAGAGCTTTAATATAAACAACTAACTGTTATATTAATTTTATAGCTCCTACTCTCTTCTGTGTTGACTAATTACCAAACTTTTAAAGCCGAAGACAATACAATACTATGTATATGTATATTAGTTGTGTGAGCAGTTGTTCTACCATACGCATGTTAATTTATTTATAAAATTTCTTTTTATAACATATTGGCTTTTTAAAAAAGGAACTTTTCTTGTTCCATAGGATCTACCTCAGACCCTGGAAGTAGAACCAGTTCTGAATTATTTTGTTCCTTAATTAGGTCATCTGTTGACTCACAACAACAATCCAAATCCAAAAATTCATTGTATATTGATGAAGGTAATCTATAATTTTAGTCCTCTTTATAATGGTACCCTCTGTTTAATATGTAAGGGGAAATGACTTTTTCATCAATATTTGTTAATTTTGGAAACAGTGAATAGATCATAGCTAATATGACAATATTGCTGAACTAAAATATTAAACATAGTTTCAACTACACTGTTATTAGGGTTGAGGATACATTTGAAATATGTTAGCAGTCTGGGTTTTGTTTTGCTTTGTTTTTTTTACCCGAGACAGAGTTTCTCTGTATAGAAAGTCCTTGCTGTCCTAGAACTTGCATTATTGATTTGTGTGTAATTCTCTGCTTTTCCTGTTTGCATTTGTTTGTATACATATCTGTTATTCTTCATGCATGTTATGTTTAAAGGTGGAAACATACTTAGTACTGAGTGTCTTGCTAACTCTGATTTGTCTCTTGCCCAGGTTTTTATCAAGCTGTGTTCTGTGAAATACACTGATCCAGCATACTTGGGTGGCTGAGAAAGTTTTATCAAGTCAGTTTAGTACAGCACATTGGTTAGAGGTTATCCAGGCACGTGGGCATGTAAAGGCTCCGGTTTTTACAGTAAACAGATTGTCCATGTTTATCTTGGCACCCTCCATAAACGCTTGAGTGTAAAACGCTGTAATGTGTAGGGTTGTGCTGGGCATGCTGATCTGGAAAATGTAACGAAAATTATGAATAAGGTTTTCTTAAAAGCTTTTTAAAACTTCAAATAAAATTGACTGTATCTGACTAACTTTTCAAAAATTGAAGCATTTTGATAACTGATGATTATATTTTCTTACAGAAATTATATTTTTAAGTACAGTGTTGATTTTTTTTCACCTGAGAAAGTACCTTTCAGTACTGTGGAGTCTTTAAAGAGAATCTGTATGACTATAAAGATTGTGCTTTTTTTGTTGGAAAGGATTTCTTTGTTTTTTATGCTAAACTATGTTTCTTCCATATATAGTTAAAAAGTATGTTTACTATTTCAGAGAGCATGACACCGGAAAGGAGGCCTCCCAAACTTGCCTTTATGTCAAGAGATGATGGTGACAAAGGTTCATCTAGTATTAATGAACCAAAGGTTACAGGTATGGAGCCCATTCTTGGTAGTTTACAATATGATAATATGATTCTCCAAGATGTTAAATAAGCTCTATGTTATTGTTTGTGTGTGTGTATATGTATATATATATGTATATAGTTTGTTCCTACAATTTATGTCAACTAAAATTTTATGTACATGATTTTAAGTGAGGATGTAGTAAAAAAACCACTGAAATGGCCAGCCTATGAGCTGTGGAGGGAGCTTTTTATTTGGATAAGAGAGAACAGCTGGCGGTGTTACACGCCTTCACTCCCAGCTCTCAGGAGGCAAAGGCAGGTGGATCTCTGTGTTTGAGGACAGCCTGGTTGACAGAGCAAGTTCCAGCGAAAAACACTAGAGAGGGAGAGAGAGAGAGAGAGAGAGAGAGAGGAAGGGAGGGAGCTTCTAATACACACCAGAAAAAGTTTCGACCTGTGTTCTGCTTGTTCTGCTGAGCTTTGTCTAAATGAACCTTTAGGAGCTGACTGTCATGCATTCACACGGAAAATCCACAGTTTCACTTGGGAAGAACAAGTCCCCAAGGATGATGTCATGTACAGCTGCCAGGGTGCAGCTTTTGGTGCTTTTGCTTATTTTTTTGTGTAGCTTTTCTGAGTTGGCTTGGGCAGAATCTTCTTTGAGCAGTGAAGACTGCATGCTTGCCACTAAACTTTTTCTCTAATTCATGAACCATCCGGACTTGGATTTTCTGGAAAGATTTCTTCTGAGAAACTGGTGCTAAAATAAGGATTGCTTTCTGACCATCACCAGCTTCAGTTTCCTTGGCTGTGGTGGGTGATACTGAGTTTCCAAGCTGTGCCTTGAGATCAGAGTTCATCTCCAGCTCAAGCAGTGCATGAGAGATGCTAGACTCGAAGTCATGTCTTCTTGTCGTCATCAGGCTTCCTAGTCTTGGTGCTTGAGGTGATCCTGGCCTTCTCCTGAAAGGAGGAAAGTACCACTGGTCATATGGGTCGTGGGCTGCATTGTCAGGCCATTGACAGGCACAGGCCGAATATTCCACCACATCCCTAATGAGGGCACAGAGCCTCGGAGGTCCATCCTCCTAAACTACAAAGAACAAGAAATTGTGTTAATAAAATTCTAAGATGTTTATATTGTAAATCTAAAAAAATATATTATTTCTTTTGTAATGTTGGGGATCAAAGTCAACAGAACCTTATAAGCTAGGTAAGTACTTTTTTACTCAGGTATTGTTCCAGACACTGAGATTACTTTTTTATTTTTATTTTTTGGTGCTTGCTTCAAATCTTGCATCTTACACAAACTAAAATAGGACTCTACTCCTGATCCATATATCCACCCAAAACCTGAATGTTTTTTAACTTAATTTGTTCATCAGCTTGTATGATCACATTTGAAGTTTATGAAGGGAAATTATAATGATGAGCCACTTATTAATGGGATGAGTTCTGAGAAGTGCATCATTCGGCAGTTTTTTTTTTTTGTGTGTGTGTGTGTGTGTGTGACTTTTTAATGAGACCTCTTGTTTGTTCCCAGCTGCTCAGCCCCAAAATAATCACACAGAAACCATATTATTTGCAATACTGTTTGGCCAATAGCTTAAGCATATTTCTGGCTAACTCATCTTAAATTAACCCATCTCCATTAATCTATGTATTGCCACGAGGCTGTGGTCTACCGGGTAAAGTTCCGGCATCTCCTGTGGGGCTATATGGCTTCTCACTGACTCTGCCCTTCTTCCTCCCAGCATTCAGTTTTCCCCACCTAGCTCTGTTCTACTCTATCAGGCCAAGCCTATTTCTTTATTAACCAATGGTATTCACAGCATGTGGAGGAGAATCCCACATCATGTGACCATCATAGAATGCACTTCACAAACCTTGGTGAAAGAACTTTGTGTATGTCTAGGCTCTATAACACTGCTGGATGTTCTTTTGTTGACTGCAACGGGGTTTCATTCTGTGGATCGTGACCCCTTTGGGGTTTGAATGACCCTTTATTGGGATCGTTTAAGACCTTTGGAAAAGAAAGATATTTATATTACAATTCATAACAGTGGCAAAATTGCAGTAATAAAGTAACAACGAAAATAATTTTCTGGTTGGGGTTTGCCACAGTTTGAGGTATTGTATTAAAGGGTGTCAGATTTAGGAAGGTGGAAAACCACTGTTATATGGTATGAATGATAGAGGTGAAATTCGTGAGCCAGTAATTTCATCAAAGTAGAGGTGACATTGAAAAATAGACTACATGGAATGATTTTTTTTGTCCAGATTTCTTTAGATAGTCTGTAGTGTCCTGGAACTTGCTCAGTAGACCAGGATGGCCTCAAACTCAGATATGCCTGCCTCTACTAAGTGCTGGGATTAAAGGCTCATGTCACCACTGACCACCAGAATGGTTTCTTAGAGCTTTAATATAAACGGCTAACTTTTATATTAATTTTATTACTCCTACTCTCTTCTGTGTTGACTAATTACCAAACTTTTAAAGCCGAAGACAATACAATACTATGTATATGTATATTAGTTGTGTGAGCAGTTGTTCTACCATACGCATGTTAATTTATTTATAAAATTTCTTTTTATAACATATTGGCTTTTTAAAAAAGGAACTTTTCTTGTTCCATAGGATCTACCTCAGACCCTGGAAGTAGAACCAGTTCTGAATTATTTTATACCTTAAGTGGGTCATCTGTTGACTCACAACAACAATCCAAATCCAAAAATTCATTGTATATTGATGAAGGTAATCTATAATTTTAGTCCTCTTTATAATGGTACCCTCTGTTTAATATGTAAGGGGAAATGACTTTTTCATCAATATTTGTTAATTTTGGAAACAGTGAATAGATCATAGCTAATATGACAATATTGCTGAACTAAAATATTAAACACAGTTTCAACTACACTGTTATTAGGGTTGAGGATACATTTGAAATATGTTAGCAGTCTGGGTTTTGTTTTGCTTTGTTTTTTTTTACCCGAGACAGAGTTTCTCTGTATAGAAAGTCCTTGCTGTCCTAGAACTTGCATTATTGATTTGTGTGTAATTCTCTGCTTTTCCTGTTTGCATTTGTTTGTATACATATCTGTTATTCTTAATGCATGTTATGCTTAAAAGTGGAAACATACTAGTACTGAGTCCATTCCTAACTCTGATTTGTCTCCTACCCAAGATTTTATCAAGCTGTGTTCTGTGAAATACACTGATCCAGCATACTTGGGTGGCTGAGAAAGTTTTATCAAGTCAGTTTAGTGCAGCACATTGGTTAGAGGTTATCCAGGCACGTGGGCGTGTAAAGGCTCCGGTTTTTACAGTAAACAAGATTGTCCATGTTTATCTTGAAACCCTCCATAAACGCTTGAATATAAAACACTGTAATGTGTAGGGTTGTTTTGGTCATGCTGATCTGGAAAATGTGACGAAAAGTATGAATAAGGTTTTCTTTAAAGCTTTTTAAAACTTCAAATAAAATTGACTGCTTCTGACTAACTTTTCAAAAATTAAAGCCTTTTGATAACTGATGATTATATTTTCTTACAGAAATTATATTTTTAAGTACAGTGTTGATTTTTTTTCACCTGAGAAATTACCTTTCAGTACTGTGGAGTCTTTAAAGAGAATCTGTAAGACTATAAAGATTGTGCCTTTTTTGTTGGAAAGGATTTCTTTGTTTTTTATGCTAAACTATGTTTCTTCCATATATAGTTAAAAAGTATGTTTACTATTTCAGAGAGCATGACACCGGAAAGGAGGCCTCCCAAACTTGCCTTTATGTCAAGAGATGATGGTGACAAAGGTTCATCTAGTATTAATGAACCAAAGGTTACAGGTATGGAGCCCATTCTTGGTAATTTACAATAAGATAATATGATTCTCCAAGATGTTAAATAAGCTTTATGTTATTGTTTGTATGTGTGTGTATATGTATATATATATATATGTATACATATAGTTTGTTCCTACACTTTATGTCAACTAAAATTTTATGTACATGATTTTAAGTGAGGATGTAGTAAAGAATCCACTGAAATGGCCAGCCTATGAGCTGTGGAGGGAGCTTTTTATTTGGATAAGAGAGAACAGCTGGCGGTGTTACACGCCTTCAATCCCAGCTCTCAGGAGGCAAAGGCAGGTGGATCTCTGTGTTTGAGGCCAGCCTGGTTGACAGAGCAAGTTCCAGTGAAAAACACTAGAGAGGGAGAGAGAGAGAGAGAGAGAGAGAGAGAGAGAGAGAGAGAGAGAGAAAGAGAGAGAGAGGGAGGGAGGTTCTAATACACACCAGAAAAAGTTTCGGCCTGTGTTCTGCTTGTTCTGCTGAGCTTTGTCTAAATGAACCTTTAGGAGCTGACTGCCATGCATTCACACGGAGTATCCACAGTTTCACTTGGGAAGAACAAGTCCCCAAGGATGATGTCATGTACAGCTGCCAGGGTGCAGCTTTTGGTGCTTTTGCTTATTTTTTTGTACAGCTTTTCTGAGTTGGCTTGGGCAGAATCTTCTTTGAGCAGTGAAGACTGCATGCTTGCCACTAAACTTTTTCTCTAATTCATGAACCATCCGGACTTGGATTTTCTGGAAAGATTTCTTCTGAGAAACTGGTGCTAAAATAAGGATTGCTTTCTGACCATCACCAGCTTCAGTTTCCTTGGCTGTGGTGGGTGATACTGAGTTTCCAAGCTGTGCCTTGAGATCAGAGTTCATCTCCAGCTCAAGCAGTGCATGAGAGATGCTAGACTCGAAATCATGTCTTCTTGTCGTCATCAGGCTTCCTAGTCTTGGTGCTTGAGGTGATCCTGGCCTTCTCCTGAAAGGAGGAAAGTACCCCTGGTCATATGGGTCGTGGGCTGCATTGTCAGGCCATTGACAGGCACAGGCCGAATATTCCACCACATCCCTAATGAGGGCACAGAGCCTCGGAGGTCCATCCTCCTAAACTACAAAGAACAAGAAATTGTGTTAATAAAATTCTAAGATGTTTATATTGTAAATCTAAAAAAATATATTATTTCTTTTGTAATGTTGGGGATCAAAGTCAACAGAACCTTATAAGCTAGGTAAGTACTTTTTTACTCAGGTATTGTTCCAGACACTGAGATTACTTTTTTATTTTTATTTTTTGGTGCTTGCTTCAAATCTTGCATCTTACACAAACTAAAATAGGACTCTACTCCTGATCCATATATCCACCCAAAACCTGAATGTTTTTTAACTTAATTTGTTCATCAGCTTGTATGATCACATTTGAAGTTTATGAAGGGAAATTATAATGATGAGCCACTTATTACTGGGATGAGTTCTGAGAAGTGCATCATTCGGCAGTTTTTGTGTGTGTGTGTGTGTGTGTGTGTGTGTGTGTGTGTGTGTGACTTTTTAATGAGACCTCTTGTTTGTTCCCAGCTGCTCAGCCCCAAAATAATCACACAGAAACCATATTATTTGCAATACTGTTTGGCCAATAGCTTAAGCATATTTCTGGCTAACTCATCTTAAATTAACCCATCTCCATTAATCTATGTATTGCCACGAGGCTGTGGTCTACCGGGTAAAGTTCCGGCATCTCCTGTGGGGCTATATGGCTTCTCACTGACTCTGCCCTTCTTCCTCCCAGCATTCAGTTTTCCCCACCTAGCTCTGTTCTACTCTATCAGGCCAAGCCTATTTCTTTATTAACCAATGGTATTCACAGCATGTGGAGGAGAATCCCACATCATGTGACCATCATAGAATGCACTTCACAAACCTTGGTGAAAGAACTTTGTGTATGTCTAGGCTCTATAACACTGCTGGATGTTCTTTTGTTGACTGCAACGGGGTTTCATTCTGTGGATCGTGACCCCTTTGGGGTTTGAATGACCCTTTATTGGGATCGTTTAAGACCTTTGGAAAAGAAAGATATTTATATTACAATTCATAACAGTGGCAAAATTGCAGTAATAAAGTAACAACGAAAATAATTTTCTGGTTGGGGTTTGCCACAGTTTGAGGTATTGTATTAAAGGGTGTCAGATTTAGGAAGGTGGAAAACCACTGTTATATGGTATGAATGATAGAGGTGAAATTCGTGAGCCAGTAATTTCATCAAAGTAGAGGTGACATTGAAAAATAGACTACATGGAATGATTTTTTTTGTCCAGATTTCTTTAGATAGTCTGTAGTGTCCTGGAACTTGCTCAGTAGACCAGGATGGCCTCAAACTCAGATATGCCTGCCTCTACTAAGTGCTGGGATTAAAGGCTCATGTCACCACTGACCACCAGAATGGTTTCTTAGAGCTTTAATATAAACGGCTAACTTTTATATTAATTTTATTACTCCTACTCTCTTCTGTGTTGACTAATTACCAAACTTTTAAAGCCGAAGACAATACAATACTATGTATATGTATATTAGTTGTGTGAGCAGTTGTTCTACCATACGCATGTTAATTTATTTATAAAATTTCTTTTTATAACATATTGGCTTTTTAAAAAAGGAACTTTTCTTGTTCCATAGGATCTACCTCAGACCCTGGAAGTAGAACCAGTTCTGAATTATTTTATACCTTAAGTGGGTCATCTGTTGACTCACAACAACAATCCAAATCCAAAAATTCATTGTATATTGATGAAGGTAATCTATAATTTTAGTCCTCTTTATAATGGTACCCTCTGTTTAATATGTAAGGGGAAATGACTTTTTCATCAATATTTGTTAATTTTGGAAACAGTGAATAGATCATAGCTAATATGACAATATTGCTGAACTAAAATATTAAACACAGTTTCAACTACACTGTTATTAGGGTTGAGGATACATTTGAAATATGTTAGCAGTCTGGGTTTTGTTTTGCTTTGTTTTTTTTTACCCGAGACAGAGTTTCTCTGTATAGAAAGTCCTTGCTGTCCTAGAACTTGCATTATTGATTTGTGTGTAATTCTCTGCTTTTCCTGTTTGCATTTGTTTGTATACATATCTGTTATTCTTAATGCATGTTATGCTTAAAAGTGGAAACATACTAGTACTGAGTCCATTCCTAACTCTGATTTGTCTCCTACCCAAGATTTTATCAAGCTGTGTTCTGTGAAATACACTGATCCAGCATACTTGGGTGGCTGAGAAAGTTTTATCAAGTCAGTTTAGTGCAGCACATTGGTTAGAGGTTATCCAGGCACGTGGGCGTGTAAAGGCTCCGGTTTTTACAGTAAACAAGATTGTCCATGTTTATCTTGAAACCCTCCATAAACGCTTGAATATAAAACACTGTAATGTGTAGGGTTGTTTTGGTCATGCTGATCTGGAAAATGTGACGAAAAGTATGAATAAGGTTTTCTTTAAAGCTTTTTAAAACTTCAAATAAAATTGACTGCTTCTGACTAACTTTTCAAAAATTAAAGCCTTTTGATAACTGATGATTATATTTTCTTACAGAAATTATATTTTTAAGTACAGTGTTGATTTTTTTTCACCTGAGAAATTACCTTTCAGTACTGTGGAGTCTTTAAAGAGAATCTGTAAGACTATAAAGATTGTGCCTTTTTTGTTGGAAAGGATTTCTTTGTTTTTTATGCTAAACTATGTTTCTTCCATATATAGTTAAAAAGTATGTTTACTATTTCAGAGAGCATGACACCGGAAAGGAGGCCTCCCAAACTTGCCTTTATGTCAAGAGATGATGGTGACAAAGGTTCATCTAGTATTAATGAACCAAAGGTTACAGGTATGGAGCCCATTCTTGGTAATTTACAATAAGATAATATGATTCT